AAAATTATGCTAGATCTGTGACAATTGAAGTAAACAACGTACGCACAAGCACTGAAGTAATGACAACCAAGATATGAGTAAATAATTGCCAAGATCAAAAGACTAAAGAATCGTAACTGGTGCAGAATTGGCTAATTCGTCTGTTCAAAACTTGAGACAAGCCATTTGGGCACAACATATTAGTGCTTACACTGCACAGAAGCATACTAATTGGCAAAGAATGAGTAAATCAAGACCAGTAAAGAAAATAGCCCAGAATCTTCACATGTTACATGACAAGTATACTAGTTTTTTTTAACTCACATTCAACGTCGCTTATTTGGATTACAGTTACCTATTTGTCTAAGACGGGTTATGATTATGACGTATATACGAGTCGTGTTAGATGTCTGAATATTAAACTGTATTACACTTAGGTTTATTTGAACATAAATTGCGTTAAATAAAACAACTGGAATTAGTCCTGATTGTTAACTGATATGTGAACAGTCAAATATTAAATGAAACAGTCAAAAGTATTGATCGTCATACACTTGAAATCCATGCAATACGAAATTTGAAACGATTTCCCATTTTATTAAGATTTCATAGTTGACTGTTTACAAAATAATGATTACGGAGTGCAGACTTAAATATCATTTTTGGGGCGTCTTTTTTGACAGTAAACCACATCTCAATAGCCAAAAATACAGGTCTCTTTTACGTTGGTAGTAACAATCAAATCACCTAACTATTATTAATAATATCATTAAAACAATAGTAAAAGTTTAAAAAATGTGACCTTGATGAGAAAATGCAATTAAAAATCACATGCCTACTAATAGGAATAAACGTACACTAATAAATTGTTGCCAATCAGAAAAAAGAGAGAAGAATGAATATTGAATGAATACTATTTGAAGATAAAAATATTCTTTCTGCCTACACAAATACTGGATAATTGCATTGCTCGCATATAGCATGTTCCCTTTCGAAATGGTAAATTTGAAATAACATTATTTTATGCGTTGACTGTTTCGATCGCGTCCATGGCTACTACCTTGATGTCGTGGTCGTACTTGCCTATTAGGATGATACTACCGAGCTACATTAGCGGTAATCTATGTCCCTGAATGTTCTACCATGCCAGATAGGTCGATATGAGAACAGTGAGACTAAAAGCAGCAACTCAAGATGTGAGGGCGAAGTCCTATTTCTGACTGTAGAGAGGCGTGACAGCAGTAAAGGTGTTTCCCTCGTACAACCAGTATCTGTCTTCTCAAAATGAAGCAAGGTGTTACAAAATGTCGAATCCAAAATCTCACACGTCACCTTACCTCACGGATTTTCGTCTTCGAGAAGGCCACTTCAACAGCAGAGCTTGAACTTCGAAAACTTTCTATATAAAGGCCTTGCGGGACCGGCCTCAAGCAGATGTCGAATTAGCTCTGCAGTCAGGCTCTCAGGTCTCTAAAGCCAACGCTTAACTAGCGTCCTTTTCATAATCCTCAACAAACACCCTTAAACGGTGTGAACACCTGGAAGGTGACATTCACCCTCATACTCGTGATAGCACAATAGACAAAACTAGTCGGAATCGAATCCTCTTCAGACTATATATAACCCTCTCACCCCCATAATCACACATTCTCACATTCTTTACTCACCTCAGACTGCTAATGTAAATCATTGAAGCACGCGGAACGTTAGTCGGGGTCTCCTGATACCCCGTTCAATACAAAATTTTAGAGCTTTCATTTTTGGAACCCCTTGTCAGATATGGCAAAAGGACCACTAAGATAGGACTCTGCAGTCCCGTGCCATCGACTAATGCCGCTTCTCAGAAAGCGCACGTAGCATGTGAGTATAGTCATTTATTTGATTTCAACTTGTCCAGATAGTGAAACAACTGAATATACGGTTCGTGCATCTGGAAGCCCTGCTGCTGCTTCACTTGACATCGCAGGTGTAGATATAGCATTAAGTCCTAGGGCAGAACTAGCTGTCTTATACTGAATTACAGTAGACAGTCGCTTATGTACTGTCTGAATAAACTAGACAGTAAGAACTCGGAAAGATAGGGACATTTACCCTCGCCTCTTCGTCGTCTCTGTCAGCGCTCCCACTGACTGCAGCTCAGATGGGGTAGAAGATAAGTCTTACAAAAAAATTCTAACCTCTGATGGAGTAATAGTGGATGGTAACTCCAACGATCAGTATGGTAGGCAAAATAAAATGACAGATATTTGAATGGATCTTATAGTGTTGTGACTCAAAGATCAGATAATGGCAGCCGTCTGCTGCAGCTATGCAAACACTAACTTGATCATGGCTACTACCTTGACGTGATGATCGTGCTTGCCACTTTTGAAGACCCAACTGAGCTACACTAGCTGGAACATACGTTCCTGAAGGTTCTACCATGCCAGGTAGGTCGACTGGAGAACGGTGAGTCTAAAAGCAACAACTCGAGGTCTGAAGGTGAAATCGTATTGCTGACTGACTGTAGAGAGGTGTGACAGCGGTAAAAGTGTTTCCGTCGTACAACCGGTATCTGCAGCAACTGTGCCTTCTCACAAGGAAGGAAGGTGTTAGAAAAGGTTGACTCTGAAAATCTGACACATCACCTTATCTGACGGACTTTCATCTCCAAGAAGGCTACTTGAAGAGCAGAGCTAACACTTTAAAAACTTTCCATATAAAGTGTGAGTGTGACCAGCCTCAAGTAGTTATCTCTTGGGCTTTGCAGTCATGCTCTCAGGTCTCTAAGACTGATACTACTCCAACTTCCTTTCCAGCTTGTCCGAGAAATATTACTCCATTGTGTAGGTAGACAAAATTTGATATCCACCCTCATAGTCGTAATAGCACAAGAGACCGAAATAGTCAGAATCAAATCACCCAACCCAAATTATATAATTACTCTCCTCTATCACCTAATACAAAATATTCAAGTACGTGAAACGTTATTCATAGTCTCCTGACTAGCCACTCTTAAATACAAGTTGTGTAGAATATGGCAAAAATACTATTAAGATAAGAGTATAATGTCCCGTGCCATCGACATATGCTGCAGCTCAAAAACGCGCACGCATCATGTGAGTGAAATCATTTATTTAATTTCAACTTTTCCAGATAGTGAAACAACTCAACCTACGCTTCGTGTATTTAAAGGCTATGTTGTTTCTTTCCGTGAACTAGCTGGTGTACGCATAGCACTGAGTCCTAAAACAGAACTAGCTCTCTTAGACTAGATCACAGTAGACAGTCGCTTATGCACTGTCTGACTGAACGGGACAGTAAGAACTCGGAAAGCTAAGAACACCCGCAGTTTCCTCCTCGTCGTATCTGCCTACTTTCCCACTGACTGAAGCTCAGATGAGGTTAAATATGAGTTTTACAGAAACCTTTCAGACTTCCTACAAAAATTTAGGCACTCTGATGGAGTAATAGTGGACGGTAAGTTCAATGCTCATTTAGGGAGAGAAAGTGAAAAGGATAGACACCTGGGTGGATCTTATGGTGTCGTTGCTTGGAGATCATATAACGACAACCGTCCACTTCAGGTTCTTTTGACCACCCTAAGCAACGATGAAAACATGTTTGAAGTCCGATTCTCCTCGAAAAAGTGTAAAATCATGCCTTCAGGGTTAGTAGGCATCAGTAACTGAATTATTGATAGGAAGTGAAGAAATTGAGTGCTTCAACCGCTTCACCTATCTTTGCAGTCGATTCAGTGCTGGTAACCTGGTATCTGAAGAAATCTTATCACAGATTCAGTAAAAGTGGTTGGCTATAGCCAACTCACATGACATATCTCGCAGCACGATATCAATCTACTAACCACAGGATGAGTCTAATGCGCTGCAGTTTACTCCGTCTTATTTGAAGGCTGTGAAACATGGCACGTAGAAGTAGGAGATATTCATACGTTACTGCTTTTAGATCATTGGTGTCTTAGATGCATTGCTCGTTTATCTTGGGACTATTGAGTAAACAAAGCTGTTTTTAAGAATCGAACACTAGGTAGAGATGGCAAATCATTTGATGAAGTGGCGAGTCTGCATCAGTTGAGATGTTTCGGACATGTGGTACGTACTCACAACCCCCAACAGCTTAGGCATGTGATATTTTGTGGTGTAGGAAAAGTCAATAAGAGAGCTAGGGATGGCAAAACCGAAACATGCACAAATCTATGAAGTCAGTAATAACGGGATTGAGTCATGTTGTTATTTGTAGTCTTTGTAGTTTGAGTCTTTGAGATGATAGTAACCGAGAGTCAGAGACGTTATGTGACATAACTCAAAACCGTTCATAATGGGGCAGGTGCAACCATTCTTTAGCTTCTCTAAAATTCTGTCCTCCGGATTCCTTATCACATTTACCTTTTACTTTTCAAGTTTCTTTCACTAGATTCTACCTGTTGAATAATTCCTGCGAATTCTAATCTGTCCGACTACTGCTACTAATGTA